GCAAACCTGAGACACAGCCTCATGATGTCAGAACACCCAGGAGGCAAGAAGTGTCCTGGTAGAGTGTGCCATAACAGGGAAGGGGGAAGCACACCTATTGCAGGCAGAATCCTGAACAGCCATCTGCTGGATCCAACAAAAAAATGGTGGCAAAAGGAGACCGGCAGGCCCTTTTGCGATCCATCCATGACAAAAAAAAACCAGCAAGGGGGCCATAGCAGACAAAGTAAACATAAACCACCTGCACCACGTGTAATGGGAGAGAGAAAAACCACCATATCTGTGTTTTTAACCAGGTGAGGGAACTTATAGACAAGGCAGCTGTGACGAACGTGGCATCAGACCACTGACCTTCTCGCCAAACTCAAGACCAAAGGACTAGCCAATCTGAAACCACGATGTCACGTGCATAACAATGCCACACCCAGCTGTACCCTGCACAACGATTTTCCAGCTAATTGGACCACAATCGATGTACTGGCAGCCTGGGAGCGATTGTTACTGGGTCAGGGTAATTATGCAATTAACCCTTCACACTGCCACCACCTCCTTTTTGTACAGAGAAAGAGAAAACTCGTCAATCTCAGCAATAACACTATAATGGTTGAGGTAATCGTCTGTGTAACACTGTCACCGCAGACCGGTTATACAGAGGGTTAAACAAAAAACACAGTAGCGCTCTTTTAGAGGCAGGAATTCGTAAATTGCATTAAGGGCTTTAGAAACAGTTCAACACTTTCAGTAAGAAAGATTTATTACTAAAAAGGTCAAAAAGGGTGCAATAAAAAATATTTACAGAAAAAAGATGTAACATATACACACACACACACACACACACACACACACACACACACACACACACATACACACATACACACACACATATACACATATACATACATACAGAGAACAACAGCACAGCAAAGAAGTAACAAAGGAGGTTAAAGTATTTGCTAATCAGCCTTGGGTTTGCAGATTAAGTTTCAAAGCAAAAGGGCACGTCTCCCAGGTTGGTTCTGATGTTAAAGGGAGAATTCTTCAACTTAACTCTTAGGCCCGACAGCCCATTTTGTAGTTCCCTAGCAGGGGGGGTGTCTCTGAACTCAAGGACCAATGCCCCGTTTAGGGAGGGAAGGTCTGGGCATAGACTTAAACTAGAGCCAAAATCTTTCATAGCTCATAACTTTCCCTAGGTACAAATAACACTCTGCTGTGGGTAGATTAATATACAGACGCATCTGAGAAATGATTAGATATGAAATTATACTCTGCTTTCCTAGGTATTCCAGTCAAGGAGTGTGACCTATCAAACTGTCTTCTCGTGGGCAATCTGAAGATATGCCTGTTTTTTTTTTGCAAGTCTCTTAATTCCAAGATATGAGACATAGGGGAAAAATGGATTTTAAAAGTGTTATCCGATTCGTGCTCCTCTGTAATGTCTTTGAACTCCTGGGAAGGTTTGTGTTATCTTGCTACGATGTGCTAGATTACTCAGGTTCTTTGGACAGCGAGGCCCCAGCTCCCTTGGGTGTTTTATAGCTCGGGGCTCCCTGCTGGGCCCTGGCAGGCCTGTGACACGTCTAACACACAGGCCATATGTTACTGTGTATGAACAGAGAGGAAGGGGGAGAATGGGGGGGGGGGGGGGGGGGAGAATATGTTTGACCCTTTGCCAAGATGGAGGTTGAAGCCAAAATGGTTAAACCGCGTCCATCTCTGGGTGTACACTTGCTACAGCAGCAAACTCCGAAACTGAGCACCAAGGACAGCAACCAAGAAGGCGACCTAAGGGGAGAGCGTGGGCAAATGCAGAACCCTAATCTCCAAAACGGAGGCTTCCAATGGACCGAAAGAACCAAGGTCAGGGTGCCCGTGGGTAATGGTATGAATCAAGTCAGTAGCCAAAGAAGAATGAAGAAAATAGCAAGTGAAGAACCCGACCCTTAATGCCACACAGACAAGCTCCTTGGTCAACCCCTGGCTGAAGAAAGGCTAAAGTCCAGGTCACAGAGAAGGAACACAGATGTATTTCTGCAGCCTCACACCACAAGAAAGTTTTGCAAGTGCGATAAAACTTGGTAGGAATCACTACGCCGGATAACCCCATGTCACTCAGACTTCAGATGTAACACTCAAACCGTCCAGCCAGTGACAGGAAGCGGGGTGGAAGATCGATCCTTGGGACAGGTGGGTCTGCAACTAGTTGCACCATATTGGTGTACCAGGGATGACAGGGCCAGTCTGGGGCCACCAGGATGACCAGAACACCTACGGCCCCATCTTGAGCAGCAAACGAGAAGCTTGAGAGGAGGAAAAGCAGAAAAGAGAGATACAGGCTCCATGGTGCAACCTCAGCGACTTTCAAATCAACTATAGAATTCCTTGCTCTTGTCACAAACCCCGGTACTCTCCTATTGAGACAGGCCGCCAGAATATCCACATCCGTCATGTCACATCACAGAAAGGGCTGTCGAACCCTTCCAGGAGTAGAGACAACTCTCCCAGATCCAGCATCCGACGGAAGTAGTGCGCTTGCCAGTTTACCATGCCTAGTAATGTACACAGGCACGTGAAGCTCTGCCCACCGCAGGGATCTAAAAGTAATCCAGCGCCCCGGACACACTCTTCATGCTGTCTTGAATGTTGACAAAGGCCATCGTGGCATAGCTCAATGGAATCCTGAACGGGCACCCACGAAGAAGCTGTAGCCATTGCACCAGGTCCAGGACACTGAACGGAAGTAGAGCATCCACCGGCACCCAGCAGCCTTGATCCGCCCTCAACTCCCAAACTCCAACCCCCAGCCAGACAACCTGGCATTTGTAGAGCGAGCTGATCAGTGCAGCGAAGTAAGCGAGTCCCCAGCCAGAAGAGACGGAGTGTCCACAGCTTAGAGGGCTCGCAAACCCTGGGTGACCCATAACCCCTGCGGGGACCTGAAGAGCTGGGCTCCTTGCTCTAGGAGCCTGGTGAACAAAAACACCTGTGTGCAGAGAAGTGAAACCCTGGTAGTGGTGCAGCTCCAGCCTACATTGGATTGTGGAGAAGATGATCTCTACTCTCCTGTCTGGATGGCACTATCTGGGACCTGAGAGGCACCAAAGAGCCCCATACCCTGGAAGGGTAAACAGACCCAGACTGTCTTAGACTTGCGGAACGCAGACCAACTCAGAAGCCAGAGAACTGACTAGAGCACCACAGCCGAGATGGAAACTGGAAGACAATGGGACACATCCAAAATGAAACATATGTATTTGAGGCCCAAGTCCACGAAACTTGGGGAGATCGATTTCTACCTGGCCTAGGCGTAAGCGTAGAGCTTACTCGGTGTTAGCGACATCAGAGCCACGAACAAGATCGGACAAAGAGCTGAAGCAGTGACTGAAACCAGAGGATGGGCAACCAATACCATCTTGCGGTCCCATGGGACACTTAAAAGGTGGTAGGGCCCTTCCAGAATCCCAAATGCCCCATCCAACCTGGAGAAGAAATACAAGACAGGAAGAGAGGTTTGCTCCGGTAGAAAAAGCACTGCATTGTGCAAAAAACAAGGGGCACCCCACTTGCGGGTCGGAATCCCATCTGTAGAAAACCCCACAAGAGGAGGGCAGGTCCATGTAAAGGGTCCTGTCCCACAAAGCAACAACAAAATGGGGGGGGGAAAAAAAAAAAAAAAAAAAAAAAAAAAAAAAAAAAGGGGAAGGACCCCACTTCCCACCAGCCATAAAGGGCGGGGGGCGGGAGGGGGTGGTGGGAAGTGGGGTCCTCCCCCTTTTTTTCCCCCCCATTTATTGTGAAACAGACTCTGGCGCCTGGTCATCTGTTTTCCCGCGTGACGTTTAACTCACTAAACACACCGGTACAGGATGGGGCATCTTGCGGCTGACCCAGTGGTTAGCTAAAAGGTCCTCAAGCGCTCGATAGCCAGACTAGGGAGACCACTGGAACTAAATTGCCCAACTTGGCTGTTTAAGAACCATGCAGGGGAAAAAAAAAAATCCCACAAAAAAGGGAAGGCTACGGAACGACAGGTCCCAGCAGTGAACTAAGCCCTTACACCTGAACACTAGGCAAAATAAATGAGCTTACTATAGCAGAGAGGGGGTTTATACCAGCTAGGACTGCTCATAGACAGTGCAGTTTTTTCTGCCGAATGCCCTACTCCTGTAGGTGGCGCTATAAACCCTATGGTCAAGAACAACTGTGTTTATCAATGAATGATAGAGAAACACTGCTTTGCTTAAATGGAGCATTGGCTTAACATGCATAAAATGCAAATTGTGCTATAGGCTATAATTAAACATATGCAAAATAAGTATTGAACACATCAACATTTTTTCTAGGTAAATATTTCCAAAAGGTGCTACGGACATGAAAATGTTTACCACATGTCAGTAACAACCCATGCAATTTATATATACAAAGAAACCAAAACAAATTCAGAAATTAAGTTATATGTAGGAAAATGGAATGACAAGATGCCTCACTGTATGGAGAGAAACTAGTCGCATGCATTGCTCAGGTGTGATTTTGGCCCATTCTTCTGCACTCTTCAAATCTTGAAGGTTTCGTGGGCCTCTTCTATGAACTCTGATCTTTAGTTCTTTCCATAGCTGGTGTATTGGCTTTCCATGCCTTTTTGCACATCCCCTTCATGTGTTCAATACTTTTTCCTTGTGTCATTCCATTTTATTACTCCTAACTTCTTTGTATGTATGGATTGAATTTGTTACCGACATGTGGTGAAAATTTCATGTCAATAGCACCTTTAGAAATATATTTACGGAGAAAAATGGTGACATGTTCAATACTTGTTTTACCTGCTGTATCTCATGTGCAATTGCATGAACTAGGCTTATTCACGAGCCAAGTTTGTTTAACCATAAAAATATTTAGATCTTTCTTAGTTTGGTCCCTTGGTATTGCAGGACAGATTTTCAAAACATTGACCTAATACAAATGAGACCTACAGACTTTATTCCTTGCCAAATCCTACTTACCATATGCTTCTTCAATAAGCCCGCAATATGGGTTTATGCCACCATTTCCTCCCTGTTTTGCCTCTTGATCCCCAAGTCGCAGGATATTTTCCAGACCATTTAGGGCAACTTGCACGATTTTAGAATCCATGACAGTAAGGAGGTCACAGAGTGGTTTAATGCAGCCCAGGTTTACCAGGTACCTGAAGAAAAGGTAAACGTTAATACAGGATTCCTAATTTAATTTTAATTAATACACAATATTTTACCTAATCTGTTCTGCAGTGCCTCCAGATGTGGCATTTGTGATTGCCCATGCAGCTTCTTTACGAGTTCGAAACTCGGCCTTTTGTAAAATTTCAATTAACACTGGAAATATATTGGCATCTGCAACAGCCTATGTTAAAAAAAAAAAAAAACGGTACTGCTTAAAACCTTGCAATGAAAAAGGAGCTGCTTATAGAAAAGTTTTAAAATTTGCAATATGCACACATTACCTGTATTTGAGCTCTGTTTCCAGCCGTGATATTAGAAATGGTCCAGCAGGCCTCTTTACGAATAGATTCCTTAGGACTACTTAGTAGATGCAGGAGACAAGGCAGGGCTGAGCAGTTTAAGATAACCTTATGAAAAATAAATAAGTTCTCTGTATTAGAGGAAACTAGGGGGCTCTACATGGTAATACTCTACACAGAACCCTATCTGTGCTTTCCAATGGCTATCTGTAGACCAGTTTACTAGACTTGCTGCATGGAAAGTGCACCGCATTCTTAACTGTGCCTAAAGTAAACCAGGTTCTGCACAAGCTCATGACCCCCAGTACTACATATAAAGTCAACCACAGACTTTGCATTTACACAGAAATAACCTGTCATCTCTTAAAGTTCAGATAAAAATAAAACAGTATTACACAGACGCACAGTTCTATAACTGCGCACTGAAAACAGCACTATGCATAGAAGAGTCTGGGGCAGCACAGTGGATAAATGGTTAGCACTTGCTCCTGGCAGCACTAGAGTCGTTGGTTTGAATGACAACCACGGCACCACCTGCCTGTAAATTGCATGTTCTTCCTGTGCGGGTTTCCTCTGGGTACTCTGGTTTCCTCCCACGCTCCAAAGACATGTTGGTAGGTTAATTGGATCCTGTCTAGATTGGCCCTAGTATGTGTATGTATAAAATGTTAGTTAGGGACCTTAGACAGTACGCCCCTTGAGGGTTAGGGACTGATGTAAATGTACAATATATATGTAAAGTGCTGTGTAAATTGACGGCACTATACAAGTACCTGGAATAATAAGTCATGAAATGGCACCTGTACTGTACAGGAAGAAGAGCCATTAAAGACTGATCAAGGGAGGGATACCGACTGAAGCAGCAGACAATTTGCAAGCCCAAGGATACAAGAAAAAAAAATTGAGTCAGGAGCCACGATTGAGGGAGAGGTTGGAGCCAAGCAGTGTTAAGGATTTGGAGGAACCAGAATCTATAATCATGCACTGTATAGAAGAAATCAGAACCAAGTATTATGACAATAAGGAGAAGCACTTAGTGTGTGCTGGTGGGTATATACAGACAATGATGGCAACTATGGCCTTGGAGAGTTGTTCCACATTACTAATATAGAAGTTAGTTTCTGCCAGTGTAAATAATAGGCCTGATGGCTGACCTTTAAACTTGGGGTACGAACAGAATAGACTAATGCTTTGTGCTGGTGAGAGGTTTCTTTTATGTGCTCTGCCAATGTGCAGACAAATGAGCGCATGGCTTATTCGGGCAGGGGTAAACATTTTGAGTTCTATGCAGTACGCATACAACAGCCATCATTAATTCCTTTCCTATGCTGTTCCAGAATGTCATATTTATCCATAGACAATCATATGAAATACTTCATTCTGTTCAGCCTGTAACATCTTCAGTGCTGCAATTCTTTGCTTTTATTAATGGATGCAAAATTTGGCAATTTGTGCCTGTACCAATCTGGCTGCTGCATTACCATTTATTACATGAGTATGTAGAGTATCTAGATTCACTTTGTTCAGCATGTTCTTTTCATCATACTTGGTTCTGATTTCTTCTATACAGTGCATGAATCTAGATTCTGGTTCCCCCAAACCCCTTAACACTGCTTGGCTCCAACCTCTCCCTCAATCGTGGCTCCTGACTCAAATTTTTTTTTACATATATCCTTGGGCTTGCAAATTGTCTGCTGCTCCAGTCAGTATCCCTCCCTTGATAGATTTTAGAGTGTATACATTTTACATTTGTCAGTTTACCCCAGCCAAAATAACAGTTGTCTCAATCTATTCCTCGCTTCTGCCTTCTTCATAATCTCCCATGATGCACAATACTTCCCAGTTGTATGATGAGGCCTATAAATTTAGTATGTTCCAAAAGAAAATCGTTCTGTATTAATTTGCCATAAAATGTGATCTGATCTTCATCTAACAGTTGGCCATAGATGCGTAGAATTTCTAATGAAAATTTTTGGGGAAAGGTGGTTCTAAGAAAATTAGTTCATTTTTCTAATAATGGGCAAAGTCAACGGTTGTTATCAACTGCAGTGACAAGAACACTCAAGGGAGCAGGATGGAAAAATGTTCTCAAATAGATGCATTTCTAACGCTGTATGTGGTTTTTGTTCAGTAAAGTTCATTCCTTCCAAAATCACATTAAAAGCAAACAAACAATCTTTCAAAACGACAGACAAAATGCTCAGACTTTTTGGTACAAATTTCCCTAATCCTTTTACAATAGACAAACAACATGCCTAATTTGTTGCGTCTTTATTGAATACTCATTAAAACATTCACAGTGCTGGAGAAAAAAAAGTTAAGGATAAAGTTCACCTTTTAGAAAAAAAAAAATATATATATAATAAAATGCACTTTTTTTGCAGGTAAAAAAATGTGCATTTATTATTTTTGTCTGCAGGAGCCTGAAAAGTATTGCTTTCCTGAGAGTTCAGATAAAAAAAAAAAAAAAAAAAAAAAAAAAAAAGGGGGCAGAGAGCTGAAGTCACACTTTACAAAGCTCAGTGAGGAGAGCTCTGCAAGCTGACTTGAGGAAAGAGACACTTCCCTTCACACAAAACACAGGAACTGCTGCTGTCAATCTGCTGAAGGTCCCTTCCCTTCACTGACATTTTTCTCAGAAATGAATCATGCAGATAGCGGGGAATGAAGCAGCAGAAATAAATAACAGTGCTCTGGAATCAGACAACTACACACTACAGAGGGATATGCTTTGTTCATAATGTCTGAGGTTTACAACCACTTTAACTGACCACGAATGTACACGAATATACGGTGTGCTGATGGAAACTTGCATACTTGTTCTAGTTTGACTCCTCATATGCTAATAAACTCACAATTTGGACTTATCTTGCCTAAGGTGGTTGCTAATGAAAACAATTAATCGTGGACATACTTTTCCCACTACACTGCCCGTCTCTCAACTGGCTTCCAATCGATCCAATAGTAAAATTCAAGTTACTATACTTTGTCTTACTAACAGTTCACAACCTATGCTTCATGAATATTTCAGACCTCATCCAAAAATAACCCAAACTATCGTCACCGTTCATCCAATGGCATACTAATGTTCCCCTCGCTCACAAAACGGATACAAAAGGTATGTATGAAAAAAGTTTCAAAATTTCTCTTGGACAACCCTCATCTTAAAATCAAACACTCAGCCCCCTATTGTTATGCAATGGTCAGCACATATTGGCGGCTTATAAATAGATAATTATAGTAAGTGTGTAGTAATTATGTTGCTAGGGTGCTGTCTGGTGTTACATATTGCTGTACACAACATACTGATTTTCATAGCCATGGCTCTTGGCCTCCTCTGCAATGCTGAGAATGAGAAAGAAAAAATAATTTATTGCAAAACAGAGGCTTTCCATGATTACCAGTCTATTGCAAGAATTCACTTGTTTTTCAAAGAAAATTAATACTGGGGAACATTTTATCTGCAATTTTTCTGGGGTGTTATTCCAGCATTCATACAATTACGTGTGCTTAAACTGACAGAATTCAGCAGGAAAAATACAATTTGCAAAAGCCAACAATACATTTCCTTAAAAGAAAAGTAAAAACTAATATATAGTATAGTTACATACTGGCTCTCACCTGTGTCTGGATGTCATCTCCTGTAACAATATTTCCTACAGCTCTCAGTGCAGGTGATGCCACCTTGTAATCGTTGTGCCTTAGATGGGAAGCAAGATAAATGTACATTACAACTCAGGCATCAGGGACAAATAAACGTAAACACTTTACCATCTAAATTCATGCATTTGCACTGACTTTACTAAACTGCTTTAACACGTATTATATTCTAATCCCTGTTATGAACACATTACCCAAATTCTCTACAGGCTGCCAATAAATTGCTGACTATTAAACCACTAAATACTTGGATTCCTATACACCATATGGCCAAAAGCGTGGACATTATTCCAAATTACTGAACTCAGGAGGGTACTGTGCTACAGCATACCATACAAAAATGGTTAGACAACTGTACACATCCAACCCTGTGGCAACATTTTGAGACCCTCTTCCGTTGCACTATGATGGTGCACATCTACACAAAGCCAGGTCCGTAAGGACATGATTTTGCAAGCAGTCAGTGTGAACAAATATAAAGGGCTTGCATAGAAACCGGTTCTGAACCGCTTGCCTACTGGGCACTTTTACCCCCTTCCTGCCGAGGCCAATTTTTAAACTTTCAGCACTGTCGCACTTTGAATGAAGTTGCGCTGTCATGCACCACTGTACCCAAACTACATTTTTACCTTTTATTTGGACAAATAGAGATTTCTTTTGGCAGTATTTAATCACCACTCAGGGTTTTTGTTTTTTGCTAAACAAAAAAAAAAAAAAAAAAAAAAAAAAAAAAAACACACACACACACACACACACACACACACACACACACAACACTTCTCTTAAGTTTTGGTTATAAAGTTTTGTAAATAAGTGATTTTTCTCCTACAGTGATTGGCAATGATAGGCTACACTCATGGGCACTGATGAGGAGGCAATGACAGGCATCACTGAGGAGGCACTGATAGCCAGCACTGATGGGCACTATTGGCCAAATTGATGGTCAATGTAGATGTCCCCATGAAAAAATGCTGCCTCTAGGCTCTCCTCATGCACTGTCAGTGTGAAAAGACTGCCGATAACCGACATTTCCTATTTACACTGATCAGCCATGATTGGACATAGCTGGTCACATGGCAAAAGGCAGCCGATTGGCTCTTTACTTGGACACGTGATCAACTGTGTCTGAAGGACACAGCGATCACAAATCGCACTTGGAGCACACCCCAGTGGGCACACAAGGGGTGTGGTTCTGGGAGGACTTCCATGGAAGCCTTCCCAGCAGTAGCGGACTGCACTATAGCGTAGCATAGTTGGGAAGTGGTTAAACCTATTGCTTTGGGATGCAGGCTGCAAGCCAGATCTTCGAATCTAACATTAGCACTTCACCTCACAAACTTTCACATACACTACAAAATCTTTTGGAAATCCCTCTCATAGGGGTGAAGGCTGTTACATAGTCACAAAGTTGCCCAACTCCAAAATTCATGGCCACCGTTTTGGAATCAGGTGATAAAAAGCTCAGATAGGTGCAATGGTTAGGTGTTTTGCGGACTGAAGAAGTGACACACGAGCACTTAACATCTTTATCAACTAGGCAATACAGATTTTCTAACAAGCTAAAAAATCTCCATTAGCAACAAAAAGCACTTTCAATGTTGGAAGCACTCATTATGGCCACCTCAGGGCACCCTAATGGCTTAATCCTTGCCCATATAATACACTGGACCATTGGTGGCATGCCCTAGGAATCAAAGTACAGGGATGTTTGCATCGGAGTTCCTTTTTTTCCCCCCATACAGGTGAATATAAAAATAAATTTGAAGCAACTCCTTTGGTAGTTTGGGAAACATATGTAAAGTCATAGTGCACTGGACTTGCTGCTGTGCTTGATGCCCAAGTACATTGGCTTCTGTATGCATTTTCCCCTGTATTATACATTTGCATTATAGTTACACAGTGAAACTGCTACTATCTAGTCTACACATGGCAAGTATCTCCTGGGTGTGTTTGGACTTCTGCAACAAAAAGTATCCAAATCCATAATATTTAATATATTGCAGTTCCTGGATAAGGGGACTGCATTAGTATTTTTTTGTGGCCATTTATTTTCTCCCGTTTATCTTTTAAAATAAAATTTCCTGTCCACAGTAGCTACACTAACTACTCCACAATATACACTGAGGAAGCCATGGTTGCCACTCAGGATGGACTACAACCATGTCTGTCTTTGTTGTTCTTCATTACCTAGGAGGTGGGGAGATTAGTAGTTTAAACTCATGAAAGATGCAGGAAGTGACAAAGACACTGCATTTTAGGCAAATTCAAAAGATTCTCTGTACTTGCTTAAAATGTTCTTAACCAAATAAAAGAAAACAAAAAGCAGCCAACACACCTAAGGACCAGTGAAGTAGAATATATTAAAATTTTGTTCTTGGGTTTAGTTATGCTTATAAAAGTTTGCTTAACAAACTTGTCCTCCAGAGGATTTACCCCCCTTCCTGACCAGGCCATTTTTTGTGATACGGCGGCTGCGTTACCTCAACTTACAACTGCGTGGTCATGCAACACTGCACCCAAATTAAATTTGTCTTTTTCCCCACAAATGGATCGCCTCAGTGGGTTTTATTTTTTGCACTATAAAACAAATAAAACTGACAATTTTGAGAAAAAAAAAAATTATTTTGCAATTAAACATGTCCAGTAAAAAAAAAAAAATCCTATTACAAGCAAATTAATTGCTTTATGTGAAAAAGTTAGTCTACAAATGCAATATATACAAAAAAAAATTTATATTTATTTTTTAATACTACTAATGGCGGCGATCAGCAACTTATATCAGGACTGCGGCGAGCATTCTGACACTGGGGTAGAACTGACTGCCACTGACATCCCCAGTGACACTAGTACAGTGATCAGTGCTAATAAAAAGCAATGGCACTATACTAATGACACTGGGCAGGAAAGGGTTAACATCTGGGGCGATCAAAGGGTTAAATGTGTGCTGTGTGAGAGTTTTACCGTGTAAGCATGCTGCTTCGTATTGCTCTGCTATGCAGAGCAATACAAAAGCAGCATGCTGGAGCTGACATAGGAGAGATCTGTACTGTTTACATACAGACCTCTCCCCAGTCACTGATACTCGGCGATCGCCAGGTGTCAGTTGGGAATCTCTGGCAGTGACCCAGTGATCACCAATGGCAGCACGGGCACTCCCCCTACCCAGAAATACAAGTACACACACAGCCCTGCCAACCTGTAGCAGTATTTCTGCTATAGGGCGGCAGGCAAGCGGGTTAAAAACAAAACGTTAAACGCAACTGGGCATGTGTTTTAACATGTTTTCTGGTGGCATTTTACAGGAAGAGGAAATATCTCTGTGCAGCACACTGTACATGTTACATATGTTACCATTTATCCTTATAAAAAGGTGTGCCAATGAAAAACACTGGAAATCGAGATGTAATAAAAAACCAAAAAAAAAAAACCAAAAAAAAAAAAACCACACAAATGCACAGGTGAAACCAGTTCCATCGAAAACACCACAACACATTTCTACATCCACTTTAGATGCAGCTTAAAGCACACAGAGGTATGAATATTACTGAAAATTACATTACCAGCAGAAGTAATGAGTAATTTGGGTTTTAAGGTTATCCATTGCTACCAAGGAAACACTGGAAGTTTGTAACCTAGTGCATAAAGAAGACCATTGCTAGTGTAAGGCAGCCCAGCAGAGAAATCCAACAGGCTGGTTGCACCCTTGTCGATCGTTAGATTGACTAGGGTACAATCAGCCTGGCCATAAATAGATACAAGGCAGTATTCACTTCTAAGGATAATCATCTCATATAAGACCAAGGGAATAAAGTTGCACTTTAGTCACAATATCATAAGGGGAATGGCGTTGCTCCAGTCACAATTAAAAAAAAAAAAAAAAAAAAAAAAAAAAAAAAGTCAGCAGCGGGGGCGAGAAGACAACTTCTGCTTCCGATCGCCTAGGCGATCGGATTGGAAGTGGGATCAGGTACCTGTCAAGATTGGGTACTGCACCCCAAAGTTGAAAATCCTTAACGGGGGACGAAGCCTTCAAGTGGAACTTCCCCTTTTGAGTGGAGCTCCGCTTTAACGAAAATAGGTCTTGTGTAAACATTGGTGCATTTTCTACGTGCAAAGTAGTCAACAATCCACTGGGCACATATTACAGAAGGATAGAATCTTGAGACCGAAACTACCGTCTAAACACATATGGGGTGTTTCTTCTTTGATCGTACAGCTCTGAATATTTTTGGTCCACCTAAAATATCCTGTATTTTTTTAATACCTTAGCTGGCTTTTTACATTGTAGGAAATGTAATGTGTTAGGTGAATGGTTGTGGAGACAGGAGGGTTGAAACCTTCCATTTAACGGCCATATCCTGGAACTATACTGTCAAACCCATTATTACATGTACAACCATGCTGTGCATTTGTTACAATGCTTGTGTGCTCTTCAGTATGTTTGCGAGGACCAAATGGGCATTGGATGTTCGCCTAACCAAACACTTGGGCAAAAAAAAAAAAAAAAAAAAAGTTTTAAAGTGATTGTGAACCCTCACCTTGTAATACAACACAGTCAATTTAAAATGGAAATGAAAAAGGCAAAACATTTTTGTATAAATAAAAACACAAAAGTACACACACACACACAAATACCTTTTTTAACATGTGATCACATAGCCTCTGTTCTCAACTGCATAACAGCTAGGGAAGGAGAAAAACAGCAGTACACTGAACTACCCAGTGATAGGCTGTGCAGGGGGGGTCAGGACAAGTGTGATCATTGGAGAGCAAGATGAGTTCATAGCATAGCTAGAGAACTGACCATGCTGTGCTCTCCTTCCTAATGTGGTCAGTTTTTAACAGAAAACTAGAGGGACTTGCAGGAACAACAGAAATTTCACACAAAGGAAGCAATACAAACAGGATATTTTTTCATACAAGTAAATGGTACAGCAGGCACATATCAGGAATATGAAATGTTTGGTTTACATATTCTTTAAGGGCCATAGTGTCCCCAGGGACTGTCCACAACAAAGACTCCGCGGGTACACTAGTCTTTGGTATAGATAAATTCAATCCCCATTGGCGAGGACATGCTGTGGACAAAAATTGATCTACACTTTCACCACTGTTGAGTGGGAATTCAACGCTTCATAAAAAGGTCCTACTTATTTTTCATAGGCTTAGAATTTTTTGTTTACCCTTTTTCATTTTTGCTTAATCTCCCCGCTCATTTCATCTCCCCAAGACTGTTGTCTAGGGCTCCTTGTTTGAACTGATTAGAACACTCAGAAAATGTATTTTTTTAGTTTTATGAGGTTTTTTTTTGCCCTTTTTGAGAGGTTTTACCACGGAAAATGTAAAAATCTTTATGAACTATGTAATTAACATTTAATTAGCATCAAATGTACTATGTATGTAGTTGTCAATTCTTCTGTTTGGATTCTTTTTTTTTTTTATCGTGCTATTGTATGACCACTATGAACATTTGAGGTTGTTTTAAGTAGTTTATATTTTCCATTTGAATTTATGAAAAAAAAATTTCAGGTATCGCATTATAATTAATTTGGGCAAGGTACCAGACGATTCTTACACTACAGTGCCTTGAAAAAGTATTCATACCCCTTGAAATTTTCCACATTTTGTCATGTTACAACCAAAAACAAAATGTATTTTAAAATGGGAGTTCATGTGATAGACTAACACAAAGTGGCAGATAATTGTGAAGTGGAAGGAAAAATGAAAAAATGGTTTTCAAACCTTTTACAAATAAAGATCTGAAAAGTGTGGCGTGCATTTGTATTCAGCCCCCTTTATTCTGATACCCCTAACTAAAATCTAGTGGAACCAATTGCCTTCAGAAGTCACCTAAATTAGTAAATAGAGTACACCTTTGTTTAATTTAATCTCAGTATAAATACAGGTGTTCCGTGAAGCCCTCAGAGGTTTGTACGAGAACATTAGTGAACAAACCACATCGTGAAGGCCAAGGAACAAAGCAGACAGGTCAGGGATAAAGTTGTGGAGAAGTTTAGAGCAGGATTAGGTTAAAAAAAAATATCCCAAGCTTTGAACATCTCATGGAGCACTGTTCAATCCATCATCCGAAAATGGAATGAGTATGGCACAACTACAAACCTACCAAGACATGGACGTCCACCTAAACAGACAGGCTGGGCATGGAGAGCATTAATCAGAGAAGCAACCAAGAGGCCCATGGTAACTCTAGAGGAGATGCAGAGATCCACAGCTCAGGTGGGAGGATCTGTCCACAGGACAGCTATTAATCGTGCACTCCACAAATCTGGCCTTTATGGAAAAATTACAAGAAGAAAGCCATTGTTGAAAGAAAGCCATGTGAAGTTCCGTTTGCAGTTTGCAAGAAGCCATGTGGGGGACACAGCAAAAAATGTGGAAGAAGGTGCTCTGGTCAGATGAGACCAAATTTGAACTTTTTGGCCTAAAAGCAAAACGCTATGTGTTGCAGAAAACTAACACTGCACACACCCTGAACACACCATGAAACATGGTGGTGGCAGCATCATGTTGTGGGGATGTTATCTTCAGGAGGGACAGGGAAGCTGGCCAGAGTTAATGGGAAGATGGATGGAGCCAAATACCGAGCAATCTTAGAAGAAAACCTGTCAGAGTCTGCAAAAGACTTGAGACTGGGGTGGAGGTTCACCTTCCAGCAGGACAACGACCCTAAACATACAGCCAGAGCTACAATGGAATGGTTTCGATCAAAGCATATTCATGTGTTAGAATGGCCCAGTCAGACCTAAATCCAATTGAGAATCTGTGGCAAGACTTGAAAATTGCTGTTCACATATGCTTTCCATCCAATTTGACAGAGCTTGAGCTATTTTGCAAAGAAGAATGGGCAAAAATGTCACTCTAGATGTGCAAAGCTGGTAGAAACATACCCAAAAAGACTTGCAGCTGTAATTGCAGTGAAAGGTGGTTCTACAAAAGTATTGACTCCGGGGGGCTGAATACAAGTGCATGCCACACTTATCACATATTTGTAAAAAAATTATTTGAAAACCATTTGCCATTTTCCTTCCACTTCAGAATTATGTGCAGCTTTGTGTTGGTCTATCACATAAAATCCCAATAAAATACATTTATATTTTCATTGTAACATGAAAAAAAAAATGTGGAAAATTTCAAGGTTTATGAATACTTTTTCAAGGCAGTGTATGTGGGGCATTTGTCTATTTCTACCCTGAGCCAAAGCAGTTGAAGACTGGAAGTGGCAATTTAGATAACCGTGGATGCTACATGACTGGAGAATTGGGTACTTAGATTATTATTTTTTTTTTTTTTAATGAAATAGTTGATCCATGCACTTTGAGCTGTTTTCACTAGGAGATATAACCCCAAGTAACATTTAATTTGCACACTTGCATGGTTTTATGTATTGTTGCATCACAAATCACTTTAAAATTGATATGCAAAAAGTTTCTAATATTGTCCAATAGCATGCACTGAAATAAATCAAGCACTTGCAACAATGTTGTAGACTAAAAACTGTTGTAAAATGTACACCATTACCACAGTAGCATTAATATTGTATTGAGGGGCAGCACTGCAGGAGGGAGAGGAGAGGTCTATCTGCATAGATGGACAGCCCCCGCAATCATGCGAAACTTGTTTTGGCACATAAAAGGATAAAATAGATACGAACACATTTTTCTCCATGCATCAATCCAGTCAGGCACAAATCACAAAAGATCAAAATAAAAGTTTTGCAGTGCCTAAGCTTTCTAGCCAGCAAAGGGGCCCGAATTACTTTACAAATCAGTAATAAGCTTGTAAGTGTAAAACAGATTGAATATGCTTCCATTTATAGGAGAGTAAAAGCTCATTATTCAAACATTTCACTAGGTGTCGTTGTATTCCACTCACATTAAAAGTTCTACGAGCCTTCGACAGACTCCTGAGTCAATGACTGCCTGGATCTTCTCATTGGGACCATCAGAAAGATAGGAAAGTGCCCAGCAAGCATCTGCCAACAGATCAGAGTCACTACTAAACAGGAGACGGGAGAGCACCGGAAGACACTGGGACACCTAGAGAATTACAGATACAAATATGTTGTGGGATTTCTGGAAACATTGCAAACCACCATTTTATGAAAAATAAATTGGTAGAAGACCTTATCAAAATCTGGAGGTGGGTTCTTCCCTCTGCATAGGTTAGACAAGGCCCAGACAGCATTTCTTGTCATGGTAAGGCGAGTTGACTTGGTCAGCAGACTACAAAAAAAACAAAAAAAAACAAAACAAAAAAGGAAAATCAATCAATCAATCACAGTAGATTAGTACTTGCAGTAAAATATATTTCTTGTAGTTCATTGAAGGACATAAACATTTAATTAGGGCTGAAACAACTAATCAGCATAATCGATATGAAATATAGTTGTCAACTATTATAAATCAATTAGTTGGCCTGCATACAGAATGCATTGTTTACATATGAGAAAAATTACAGTGCAGCACATATACAGCTCAGTACACGTTCATACATGTCAGTAAGTTCCTGAGAACTTGTGAATGTGTTGGGAGTAATTCCTCATGGGACATGTAGTCCTGGGCAGGAGAAGGAAGGGATTAAATCCATGTTAAAAAAAAAAAAAAAATAATAATAATAGAGATAACAAACACGCGCGCGCGCTAAATGGTTAGCACTTCTGCCTGGCAGTAATAGGGTCGCTGGTTCGAATCCCAACCACGGCACCACCTGCCTGGAGTTTGCATGTTTTCCCTGTGCCTGCGCGGGTTTCCTCCAGGTACTCCTGTTTCCTCCCACACTCCAAAGACATGCTGGTAGGTTAATTGGATCCTGTCTAAATTGGCACATATATGTATGGATGTAGGTTAGGGACCTTAAATTGTACACCCCTTGAGGGTTAGGGACTGATGTGAATGTACAATATATATGTAAAGGGCTGCGTAAATTGACGGCGCTATATAAGTAGCTGAAATAAATTTATATATATATATATATATATATATATATATATATATATATATATATATATATATATATATATATATATATATATCTCTGCTCGCCAAAACGCGGCAAGCACAGATGAAGCATAGAGCTACTGCACCTGTGCTCCAAGCCTTATTGTGAAGCCGAATTCCGGTTTACAACTTCCAGTTTCTGGCTTCTTCGGCTTCGCTGAGAGGAGACACCCTCTCCACCGCCACGGGGGACTCGAAGGGACTAGGAGTAAGTACTGTATACAACATGTCATATCACTATAATGGAGTACAGGGGAGCTGGGATATACATTACTGTATACAGTTTTATATTTTGGACTCTTTATTCTAAAGAAAAATGCAATTTCATATACTTTAAGGGGGCATGGTTGGGGGCGGACCTGGGCAAGGTTGGGTGGAGTGGTGTGTGTGTGTGTGTGTGTGGTGTGTGTACACATCCACCCTTTACCTTTCATGTCTGACTCCCAGTTAAAAGACTCAGTATTTCCTATTTCTGTATATATTATGTCTATAGCTATCTAAAATAGAAGCTATATTTCACTGGTTCACACTATAAATGAACCTGTTGTAGCAGGGATCAACAAATTTGCTCTAAATCTAGGAGCCAGCTTTAAAAAAAAAAAAAAAAAAAAAAAAAAAAAAAAAAAAGAAGGTTAGAAGCCAGGTTTATTTTAGCGTAGTAGTGTGGGTTGTCAGTGCCAGGGACTTCACGCTATGTGCTTTGCTGCGAGACAATCATGGCAAAAACCGCACCACGTTTTAGAAGCCATTGAAAATAATGGCACCTGAACCTGCATTTCGGGATTGCAGCGATCCCAAAACACTAAGGTGTGAATGGAGCCGCCCTGATTAAAACACATGCGATTCTGGATTTGTTTTGAAACTCACATTGCATGACATGCTAGATATTCCTATTGAGGTGGTTCAGAGAGATACAATAAACACCCATTGTATTCTGAGTGCCATTATGAAAAGGGTCCTGTGCGAGCTTGTAGTGGTGCATTCCAGACTCACAAGTAGAGTGGCTTGGACAGATAAGTGTTCACATAGGATGGTTAACATGCATTTTCCCAATGCAGTCTACAGGAGGCGCAATTTCCCAATGCAGTCTACGGGAGGCAATGTGTGAACCCAGGCACCAGGGTGCAATTTCTAGTTGGCATGGCGACCTGGGATTTGTCAAGCACTGCCTTATAGCAGTGATCATCTGCTGGGTTTTTTTTAACCCCATCATGATAAGGGATAAAAGAAAAGCATGCGGCTGCTAATAAAAGGTCTTCTGCTGGCCATACACATTAATTTTCAGACAATAATATTTGTAAGAAAATTCTTTATACATTTGATAAATGGACCAATGTCGTTCTAAAAATTTACTTGCTTTTAACATTCAATTTTAAAATGAAGGTAATTTCTGAACAAAAACCACGTACGCTGTCCGAAAATTTGTTTGATCGAGAAAAGTTCTCTTCTACTCAATAAAATTTCCCCATCACTGGCAGAAAACGAACGTCAAATTTGACCCCACTATTAGAAAAATTGAACGAAAGCTCTTAAAACAAAAAATATCCATTAGTGTATGGCCCTTATAAATGACAGTGTGGTTAGCGTGTATCAAGCTACCTGCCTATGACAGGAGACTCCATCGTGCATATTACACTGCTCAAAAGAAGAAAAAAAAAAAAAAAAAAAAAAAAAAAAAAAAAAAAAAGGAACAATTTGAAAGCACATCAGATATCAAATCGAGAAAAATATCATGCTGGCCATTTAATACGGATATGGATTGAGTAATGTGTTAGGAATGCAAGGAAGCCCATTTTTTGTATTTAGTCTTGTGTAGGTTGAGAATTTTAATTTCCTTCAAAGACACCCTGAAAAATCAAAGTGAAAACATTATGCAGCAGGCTAATCCATTTTTCTGAAATTTCATTGCAGCAACTCAGAATGGTACTCAGTAGTTTGTATGGCCCCCACGTGCTTGTATGCAAGCCGAACAACGTCAGGGGCATGCTCCTAATGAAAGGACAGATGGTGTCCTGGGGTATTTCCTCTCAGATCTGGACCAGGGCATCACAGAGATGCAGGACAGTCTGAGGTATAACTTGGCATATTTTCGGATGGACCGAAACATGATATCCCAGAGGTGTTCTATTGGATTTAGGGCAGACGAGCATGGGGGCCATTCAATGGTCTCAATTCCTTCACCCTCCAGGAAGTGCCTGCATACTCTCGCCACATGTCATGCACCAGGGAGGAACCCAGTACCCACTGCCCCAGCGTAGAGATCTGTGTGTCCCTCCATGGATATGCCTCCCCAGACCATCACTGACCCACCACCAAAATAGTCATGCTGGACAATGTTGCAGGCAGCATAATATTCTCCATGACCTCTCCAGTCACATGTGCTCAGGGTGAACGTGCTCTCATCTGTGAAAAGCACAGGGTGCCAGTGGTGGACCTGTCAATTCTGGGGTTCAATGGCAAATGCTAATCAAGCTCTATGGTGCCGGGCAGTGAGCACAGGGCCCACTAGAGGACGTCGGGCCCTCAAGCCACCCTCTGATTGTTTGGTCAGAGACATTCAAACCACTGGCCTACTAGAGGCCATTTTGTAGTGCTCTTGAAGTGGTCATCCTGTTCCTCCTTGCACAAAAGGAGCAGATACCAGTCCTTCTAATGGGTTAAGGACCTCCTACGGCCCTGTCCAGCTCTCCTAGAGTAACTGCCTGTCGCCTGGAATCTCTTACACGCTCCTGAAACTGTGCTGGAAGACACAGCAAACCTTCTGGCAATGGCACGTATTGATGTGCCATCCTGGAGGAATTGGACCTATCTGTGCAACCTCTGTATCACCTCACGGTACCAGTAGTGACACTGACCCTAGCCAAAATGCAAAACTAGTGAAACAGTTAGAAAAGCGCAGAAAGGAAAAAAAATGTCAGTGGCCTCCACCTGTAAAACCATTCCTGTTTTGGGGATAGTCTCATTGCTGCCCATCTAGTGTAACTGCTACTTAACTGACCAGATCAACATCCCAAGAGTTTAACGGACTTGATGCTATACTCCGATTATAAAAAGTGTTCCTTTAATTTTTTTTGAGCAGTGTATATTACAATCCTGTCTGAAAATCTTCAAAAACAGAAAGATTTTACATTTTTTCCCTTTAAAATAAAAATTATGATCTCAGAGTCTGATATGTACCACATTCAACCTCTAAAAGTATATACTGTATATCTCTTCTGTTATTCTCAGAGTGGATTAGATATTTGTCCCCAACCATATAGCTAGTTATTTAGATTTACCACTGCATTTTTTTTTTGAACTTTACATTTTACCTAAATTATGCACGTGGCTCAAATGATTGCTCGCTTAACACTCATGCATACACATCCAGTTGATTCCTCTCAGTTAGCATCACCAGTCCAAAGGTCTACAAGTAACACCTTCAGGTACTTGTGTTCCTCCTGTACCAAAGCACCACTGCTTCGTTTCCAAGGAGGCTTGTAACCTCACCATGCATTGCCTTATTTTCCCACAAAAAGCAAAATATACATAGGCTTCAATGATGAGGTGCCTGACCCAATGAGAAATGTTTTAAACAAGCAAGCTCCACTGTTTTTTCTTTGTTTTTTAGTACGGACGGAAAAAGTGGCTGCGAGGTAGACACACAAAGCACAAAATTTAATCGCAAGCAGTGGAGAGAGATCTCCCTCTAGGGAGCAGGACAGAGGAAAGGAAGAATGATGTCTTGGTTGAGGTGAAAGGCTGAAACTACATTAGGAGAGGAAGGAAGCTCTGGCCTCAACACCTTCTCTTTATGCAAGACTAGAGAGGGTACTTGGATAAAGCCGCCAGGTCAGACTCTCACCTAGCAGAGGTGATGGCAACAAGAAACACAACCTTGGGAACGGAAAAGGGAATATCCCTAATAGGTTCAAGGGCAATTTCTGAAGTTCAGAAAGAACCAAATAAAACCCCAATGGAGTCACTGGGGAGTGCAGAAGGAAACCCTAATGAGAGATACCCTGTGCAAACATCTTAATCAAGGAATAAAAGCCAACTATCTTTGGAACAAGATCACAAGTGCCAAGATCTAGCCCTTGATACACAGGGCTAACTATTGATCCAGGCCAGATTGCAAAAAGGCCAATCTTCATCCCACAAAGAATTTTCTGGAATGAAAGTATCTCTCCTTACACAAAGCGAAGAAAGACATCCAAGCGCTATGACATACATTGCGACAAGTTTAT